CATTTCAGAAGATTAATTACTTCCTAAAATATAAAACTGACAATTTTAATACAAACTTCAGATTCTCTGACGATTGGGAATTAAAATGGTCTAATTTCAGTGACAAATGGGTTCGCCTTCCAGGGCAGAAATACGAATCACGCCTCTATTGCAAACTCTAACACAAAAAATTACTTGACAATTTTACTAAAAGTAAATACAGCTGAAGCTTTCAACATCATTCTCTTTTCTTCTTCTTTCTTTTATCCTCTTCACCACTGATCGGCTCGTTAGCCGCCTGGGTGATCGGTCACGTCTCTGATTACCTTTCCTTTTCTTTTATCCTCTTCACCAAAAGATCGGCTCGTTAGCAGCTTGGGCGATCGGTCACGTCTGTTACGCACTGTTGGTAAGTACTGGGCATGCACCTGAATGTACCTGAACCCGCTCCAGCGTTGGTCAAGTCTTGTTTTGAAAGAGCTCACACTCGGTGCCGTCACAATGGATCTTGAATGTTTCATCTGTAAACAGACAGGCCCTGATGTGGGTCATTGACCTGTGCCCTGGTGGGCTTATCCCGCATAAAAAAAAATAAAATTCAGTTGCAAATTCAAATCTCGGAACATCCTATGAGATATTAAGAGATATTAGAGTCACTGAGGTTAACAAGAGAAAACGGAGGTCTCAGGCGTGCTGAAGAGGTAAGAAAACGGATGTCCTAGATGGGGGACACTAATGAAATTATAGCTACATGTCTTATGGCTATTGAGCGTAATACGACTCGTTTGATTTTACGTTGACTAACATGTATGACCCTGGTTAGTCTAAGTCGCTGTAGGCTCACCAGGTGTCTTACAAGAGGTTTACTTTTTAAAAAATCTCTCTGTCTCTCTTTTGGTAATAGAGCGCGTGAGGTTTCCAATTATTGTAATGCCATCATTCTTTGCTCTCTTCTGTGTCTTATGTCATCCTCAACCAAAACACTAAACGTGTTTGTTAAGTACAATTATTTTCATACTTTAATCTTTATGCACTATGGAAATTTCTAGATCAGATTATTAGGTAACAGTTATGAGAACAGAGTTTAGAACACTTGTAGTCCATATCTGGAGCTAACTTGCCAGCTCCACGATAGGACATAGCCTCAGGTTAAAGAAGCCACAAGTACAGAAAATTGTCGATGTTAACTTTTTTGAAATAAGAACTATGAAATCTTAAGTCTTGGAATAATCTACTAGTGTGTGTCGTGACGGGCCGATCAAAGGTGAAAAAGATGAAGCCTGTCTCGAAGATGTAGTGTTATGAATATAATAGTTATCCAAGAAAGATGTACGTTTTTTTTAAATCGAATAGTGATATTAGTCGGTAACTTGTGTATATTTTTACTCATTATTTTCCTATACTGTATTGTTTTCCTCTAAATCGACTTTGTCCATTAAATTGGTTTCCATTTACTTAGTGATGATAATGATATATACAGCTTTATGTCATAAGGACAAAACATGAATTTTTACTGTATTTTGAAGTTTAAACTGTTTACCTACTCCAAAGACGATGCCAATCAGTTAAAAGAAAATAAGCTGTGTAACAATAAGTTTAATACAGTACCAGTACTAGTAAGAATGAGGTAATTATTAAGTAAAATTTTCCATTGGTTTGTAATATTCAGTACTGTAGAGGTATGTAGATAATGCAGGTATACAGTTCAGCATGCATATAGACAACACAGGTAAGCAATTTCCAACGTACTGTACACCTAGGTACTGCAGGTATACAAAATGGCAACCAACCAGGTAATTCGACCAAGAATATACCACAAAGACATACGGCGGTTATTTCCATTAATAAAGATCTTTGTGTCGTCTATTAAGAGTAAATTAACGCAACAAAAAAAATGACACAGGAAGATGACTATTACATTGGGAAGTTTGTGCCACGTCACTTGTGTATGATTCTGAACACAAGAAGCGTCAGGAGTGGAGTTTACACAATGTTGGTCCAGTGTACACCTCGGCCAGGAGTGAGTTGTATCACGTGGTGGCAAATGGAAGTGTCTCGATACATCATGACTATTCTGTTAAAAGGAGTTAATACTACACTATATATGAGTCCTTATGAGTCTTTATGAGTCCTTATTAGTCCCTATGAGTTCATGCTAGTTCTTGTGCGTCATTGTTAGACCTTATGAGTACTTATTAGACCTTATGCGTCCTTGTTAGACCTTATGAGTCCTTATTAGACCTTATGAGTCCTTGTTAGACCTTATGAGTTAAGCCCCCATAAGGTGACTGCCGGCCTTCAGCGGACATGTGAAGGGTAAACTTTGGTCTATTTAGCTCCAAACTATAACAATGTCCCACTAACTTTCACTCTGTTCATTAACGTTTTATTTTTATGTTTATGTACACAATTTTTGCATTTACTGTATGATTCATTTTAATGTACTGCAGAACTACATATCCTGTAGTTTCATTACAATTCTTTTACACAATGTAGTGTTTCTCAATACCAAACTGTTTTTGTACGTGTCAAGATTTTTTTTTTTTTAAGGTTTGTTGACATAAAAACATTGGAACCCCATTAACTGGATAAAAATGGTCGGAAAATCTGATGAATTACAAGAACTTTTGCATCAGCCATAGAAGAGTCACACTGAACAATACAAAAAAGGCTAAGAAGACGGAGGTTGGATGTGACATTATAAGTCTGACATACTGTGTGGGCTAATACGAATTTGCTAAAAAGTTCATAATTTCCACGAGCCCCAAGACTCAGACTCTTGAATCCGAAGCATTTATGGACAGAATAATGTATCAGTCTACTGCTTCGGGTTCATAAGTCTGAATCTTGGGGTTCGTGGTCCAGGGGGAGAGGCAAACAGACTTTAGTAGTTAACTGTACCTTATTGTATTGGTGACCATAATCTACACACTGAATATGTTCTGATATAGGGTCACTTCTTTAACTAACCCCCTTAGATTCTCTGCCAGTACCTTAGTCACTTACTGTCATCCTGTGCCGGGGGATAACACAAACGAGACCGTCCCCAGGGGTAGAATGAGGTCACAGTGATGCAACTCCTCAGTAGTCAAATACTAACACAACAATACAACATTTGAAAGTACGCTCTATGACCACGTTAGTTATGTTGATGCTACGAAGGTGCCTTAATAACCTTATAATTATTTTTTAATATGATATATATAAGGAAAATTAAGGATATGTTTTAGTTAATCCATTGGACCTTTTTCTACTGCGACTCACTTCCATCCATCTACGGCATTTCTCTTCATTTCAACTTTCTTCACCAGTCATTTGTCACACTGCTGAAAACGATCGTAGGTTACTGGCGAAATAAACAGTGTCTTCAGTTCTCAGTGTTTTATCTCCTCCTATTGCGGGATCTTAGTATTATGAATTATATATGGTGTTTAGATGCTTCACTACTTAAGATAAATGAATTGCTCCAGGTACAAGATGGGGCGGTGATATAATGTGGCTCAACACCACTGATCCTCATCTATTTTAACCCAAGTATTTTTATTTTATGTTTTATTTATCCTTTATTTTATACTACAGAATGAGACAGACACACACACATACACGACAGGTAAATATGGCGATTATGACCTCCCAATCATTACCGATGTTCCTTGTTTTTATTCATCTTCTCATTTTTACCTTCGTTTGTGTTTAATCCTAACGACCTTGACAGTGAATAGTTGAAAGTGAAACCTCTATTTAACGGATTATATGGAGAGGAAAGTCCATTATATCGAGGGTCCGTTAGATGTCAACCCCCCCCCCCCAATCTAACGGAAAATACGAAGATAGAAATCCGTTATATAGAGGTTTTCCAGTACCTTTATTATGCTTTCTGTTTATCATCTCTCTCTCTCTCCTTCTCTCTCTCTCTCTCTCTCTCACTTTTAAAGCAATTTACTGTAGTTCGGTGATATGAAACCAAACCACTGAAGAGTTTACTCAAAGATACCAAAAAATTTCTGCGGCGTTGAACTGCATAAAACTTGGTACATTCGGGTTCATGTCAACCTCGTGGGGACAAGGATGGCAGGATGGTGGGGTGGAGGATAACCTTGATAATGAGGCGTAGTCGTCCCGCTAACACTGTCGGCTATACTGAAGCATCGTCGGAGGGGAACAATGGCAGGGACACTCACACCTCGACCCGCCCACCCGTTCATTAGTCTATGACACTCGACCAAACCATAGATCCGGTGAAGGGAAAAAAGTATACTAACCTTAATGTACAGAGGCGTGTGTGTGAGATGCCTACTAATGAAACATATACAATTTGTCTTTGTCTCCTACAGAACTATGGCTCTATAACACAAATTGTTCTAATTATCATTGGAGATGTTATGTTTTACTGTATATCTTATATGCATTCATAATCTTTATTATTTTCAGTCAAATGTTAATACGACACTTCAGCACAGTTAGGAGGTGAAGCTTTATCAACGCTGGGTTTTTTTTCCTCAAGTAAGTTTATCGCCATTGTGATTAGGTTAGTTAAATTACCATTACTACAACTGTAAACATATTATGCAGGGGAATAATTTATCTTTTTGTAACAGTGCACAGAGATGGCAACAGTGTACATGGACGGTAACAGAGCACAAAGACGGTAACAGTGCATTTTGTGCTTTATATCAGATTCTCGATATAAGAAAAAATGTAGATAATTAAAACACAAATTACAGGTCATCATGAAGGCTAGGTTAGGTTATCATGAAGATGTCAGTTCGTTTATATCTCCATCACCTCAGATTAGGTATTAGTGGAGGCAAGCGACCTGGACAACCTGAGAGACATAATGAACAAACTTTTGGTCATTCAACCTATTACCCCGTGAACGACCCACAATGGAGGATTATAATGGTCTCACCTGTCCGTGTGCCGGATTTCCCGTGTACCGGAAACCTCTATTAACACAAGCGCTACAGATGAAAGTGTCGTCGACAGATGGGGCTGTGAGCGGGGTGTCCCCCTCGAGTACGGGGTCAGAAACACTCCACAGTTCAGCGAGCGCCGGGCACCGCACACGTCCATCGTGGTGACAACTGTTAGTGTCAGAAAAGTCGGAGTCCTCACATTTCTCAGAAGCAAGAGTGGCAGTTCTCTTAAGATTAAGATATTATTACGAACTCTTGTTGTTTTTTCACATAGCACTTGATTACTGAAGTCTTAAGACCGCAAGATCCCACAGTGCCACATACACTAGAGACTATGGGCTCCCTGAGGGTGCTCAGGGTACAGTTCTTGCTAGTGATGATAGCGGCAGTCCTGGTGGAGGTGAGGGCACGAAGCCGTTATTACGATGAAGGTAAGTAACTATACACCTTGACTACGTTGTATGTGTCCTTAATGGACTCTTTATACTTAAGTCGAAGATACAGTATGAAGTGATTGATTGGGAAATAAAATAAAATAAAAACTATTATTCCTCAATTGTAAGCAATCATATATATTTATGGTGAGAGCTAAGGGATTGTTCTGAGTTAAAAAAAAGAAAAGATTGTTCTGTATATAATCAAGTGAGGAAGGAGGTACTGTTCACTGCACCACAAGATAACACAAAGCTTCACCTGTTTAAGGTTGTGGTGAAGAGATTTAACCTGACAACAACGACTCTTAAAGATGTGTGACATTAACTCTTCGTTCCCTCCTAAACAAAAGATTTCAATATGGAGGTAAATTTTAATTATATTAAAACAAAAAACTGTACACTGAATCTTTGAGTTCATAAATAAATTATTGAAGAGTTACCATGAGCAAAAGCATAATATTGATGTAAGTAGAATGAAAGGAAACGTCACACCAAAAGAAAATTTCACATTATTTAACATAGTACTTAAGAGAATAGGAGTTTTTACCTAAAGTATCAACCAGCTTTTGACTGTATCGTAGTCACTCCATGAGGCTATATTTTCTAGTAAAGAGCCACACAAACTTACCAACGAAATTGTGCTCCTAAAGGTACACATATAAAGATTACTCGCACCAGGACACTTATAGCGGCGGTCTCTCTGCACTGAATAAAATGAGTCTGACGTTAGCCAAATAAAACATCACAAGTGACGTCCCATATAGTAAAGGAGCGAGTGGAGGTAATTTAATAAATTGACGGAACTCAGCCTTTCCTATCTGGCCCGTGTAGGAGTCCTAGTTCAACCATAACTTACATTCTTCACCAGACTTGTTTATGTATTATATTACTACCCAAGGTGGTCCCACAACACTGAGCGTGCGCGCGCGCGTGTGCGTGTGCGTGCGTGTGTGTGTGTGTGTGTGTGTGTGTGTGTGTGTGTTACAATAAACAGGGTTAATTACTTAATAGCGATAGAATCAAAGTACAGTACTGCTGTATATATCTTGTTTACATCAGGGATTTTACACCAGGAGAAAAGGAAACTTACTTATTTCCTGCTGAGGGCTCAAGGCTTAGTGTACAGTCAGCTACTAAAGTCCGTTCACCTCTCCCCCTGAACCACGAACCCCAAGATTCAGACTCGTGAACCCGAAGCAGTAGACTGATATATTACTCTATCTATAAAAGCTTTGAATTCATGAGTCTGAATCTCCGGGTTCGTTGTTTATGGGGAAAGGTGGGTGGAACTTTTGTGGTTAATTGCAAAAGAGAGGAGTCCAATCCTCCACTCTCGTCGGGAAAGGAAACGATATCCATAAGCTTTGACAGGTGACACACGGAGTCTTCTATACCTACAGCTTCCTTGGCTTGGAACATCCACCCTAACTGATATCCGAAACATGTAATAAATCCTAAATAATTAATTTCAATACACAAGTTACCATTTTAATGTTACATGCTCTAGAAAAAGTTTGAAAGTATCAGTGAACAACTCGAGTGAAAAATCATCATTATTTGGCTACTTTTGCGTATTTTTAGGAATTGGGAAGAATTTTCGTTTTCTTTTTAATGTGTGTGTGACAGATATAATGTGCTAAGTTTATCCACCTTCGAGAAAACTAATTGTAGCTAAATTGTTTAATCTCACCAACCTCTGTAAAACAAGCGGTCTTCTACTGCCCATCTGAGTGGTCCTTGTTCGTCCTTCCACCAGTAGCTATGTCTACACATTCCTGTATACAATCATCCCTCTTAAGACATGTTCGCTCTAAACTGTTTATAAACACGAGCCTTAAGATGACCTGTTGCTAGGACGAGAACAAACACGGATCACTATCTACAGTGCAGTGAAGCTCCCGTGATCCAGAGAGAGAGAGAGAGAGAGAGAGAGAGAGAGAGAGAGAGAGAATAATGATAATGATGATGTAATACACAGAATCAATACACGGTGTCAATAAATGATGTTGTGACAGAGTGCTACACCGAGAGTGGACGAGGCCTGAGGCTACACAGTCACAATGTGGACAAGTACCTATCTGTGACCTCTCTGAAGGACTGTGAGAGGGCATGTGACATCGCCTTCTTCTCCTGCAAGTCCTTCTCGTATAGGTGAGACTCTGGGGTTATATCCTGAACACCTTTCGTCCTCTTGCCTACCTTAGTATGTCAATTGTTTTTAATTCTTCGATATACTGAGACTCTTTAGTAAATTATGAAGAACCTAAAGCCATAAATTAATAGCATCAGTATTAATCTAACCAAACCAAACCTAACCTAACCTAACCTAACCTAACCTAACCTAACTAACCTGAACATAACAAATCGTGAAGAATATTCTGAATAACATTAAATATATTCATGTCCCTTCAATATGCACACAGTTACTCTTACCCTCTCACCTCTTATACAGTCACTGATGTCTTTAACCACGCACACGCACACGCACACACACACACACACACCCTAATAACATACTCACCTCCCCCACACCGTAACACACCCTGATAACATTCATATCTTCCTCCTACAGCGATTACCGAAACCGCGAGAAGGAGAACTGTCTTCTCTCGCGGGATGACTCAACAACACTTAATATTCGCGACGATCGTGACTTCTACCACGACAAGGACTTCGTCTACTACGAGAAATCCTCAGGACGTGATTGCCGCTACGATGATAACCTCGACAACTACAGTAAGTACACCCAATAGTTCATGTTGAATCTGTCGTTATTATTTTCCCAGCTAGAATATTGACACTTAAAGCCGCTTCTACTAAGTTATTGTACAGTTAATTACTAAAGTCTGTTCGCCTCTCTCTCTGAACCACGAACCCCTAAGAGATTAAGACTCATGAATCCGAAGGATTTATGGAGAGAATAATGTACATCAGTCTAACTGGTTCGGGTTCACGAGTCTGAATCTCTCTGAGGGTTCGTGGTACAGAGAGAGAGACTTTAGTAGTTGACTGTACATGTTTACTGTGTACAATAAAAGCTTTCAGTACAAAATGACGAGCCAGATAACGTAGTTTATTCAGTGCTGGACACAACTTCCTGTGTAGATGCATCACGTTGACCTAATTACTCTCCCTCCAGCACTTCACCATCGCGTACTGCACCAACCCTGGGGTATCCTCTCCTTACGTTGGGCGAAACATATCCAGACAAAATCTCTCCCATAGGAATTAAATATCAGATACAACTCCTTCCTCCTAATATCACGCTGGTATTTGTTAACGTAACGTAACCCACCTTTCACTCTCGCCATTCTTTCCCTCACCCCCTATACTCCTTCCTCTCTCCCTCACCCCCTACCTTCCACCCTCCCTTTCCACCCCTTGTTCTCCATCCTCTCTCCGTTCTCCACCCTGCACTCCCCTTTCCGTCCCAGCTCCGCCACTACCTCTTCCAACCTATATAGACAAACTCTTTAACATTGGGTCTAAAACAATTTCTTATTTCGCTATAGGCTTCATAATAAACCCGTTAATAATGTTATGAACGCCATTGTAAGGTCTGGTTCATATCTGTCGTCTTTCTCACATCATAAATGCAAGGCATATACGACGTACCAATAGTGTAAGGTTGCAAGACAGTGAATGCTCGCCAGAATAAGAGTAGAACAAAGATATGGATAGACGTTATGAGAGATAAAGGTGAAAGGTAATTAGAGAGAGAGAGAGAGAGAGAGAGAGAGAGAGAGAGAGTAACAATGAAGCACGTAATGAGACAACACCCATGAAAGGACCTTGACGCAATACCAACAAATAAAGATTAGTTTTAAATGTTTCCAAATTAACAAGGTCGATGGGATTGTCCTCATTATATCCGAGGTTAGTTTACTCGCCTACCGTGAATATCAATTAATGAATATTTTCTGAAGTTAGTAACAAATATATATTGGAATTATACGTCAATAATTAATCTATTGAATAGAAGGAAATCTTACGAAGCCAAAAGCCAAACCAACACTAGGTTAATAATGACAGGACATTAAGCTGTCTTTGAGTTACATTTACACTTGTATCTAAACGGCGCTTTGATTACCGATTCATGGAGAACTTAATGTACAGAAAGCAAAGCAAGAAAGTTAAAAAAAAAAAATACTCCTTACTTATAGAACCAATGATTAGAAATGAGACAAGTGCAGCCAAGTGTTATCACCAGTACAGACTCCAGCTGCCATCTTTCATACCAACTTAATGAGAATCAATTCGTATATGGTAAAATGTTCTTGTGCTTTATCTTTGACGTCTTTTACGCTCAGGATCAACCCAAAAGTTAGCTGAGATTAGTAAAATGCTAAATAATGATAAATTACTATACGTCTTTTGCTAAGTATGGATAATTTTGTAATACAGTATTGCTAAAACTTTATGGCAAATAGTTCACTAAAGGTAAATTTGGGGAAATGGTACACGAGTATTGGCTTATGTCCTCACGGCGTCCCAGTGGCTTGGGCAGCCAGGTTATCTCAAACTGTATTACCAAAAAGATGAACTGAGTAATGGTGTGTGTGTGTGTGTGTGTGTGTGTGTGTGTGTGTGTGTTGCATATATTTATTAATTCGTTAACTATTGTAGCATGTTTAGCTATCTTCTGTAATAACATCTTCTCTAAACACGTGCATCATATATAAGTCAATAGCTTCAACTATCTAAATGATCATTTCTTAACAGTTAGTTAATTTTTTTTTCGCTACACACAAACAGTTTCAGTAACAATAGGTTATGATGTAGTAATATCACTTCCCAAATAGGCGTTAAATTACTGTAACCGGAATTCTATTATGGAGTAGCGTCAGCCAGCACGCATCAAGTGGGCGTAGGCTGCTGTCTCCTTCACCACAGTCCATCATAAAGATGAAACTCCCGTAACTGATTTGATGACGGTCACTATAACGAAATAACATAAAGACTAGACTCCCTTCCCTGATGTGTGGTTAGGAGCTCTTTGGCAGTAGTGGATAAAGTATAAACTGACTCTCAAACTCATAAAGCGTTTTTTTGGTATATTTTTTTTATAAAGACTAGATTTTCTTTTTTTCTGGTGCTTAGTGATAATGAAGCTAAGTGTGTTGCGTTGATTTACAAATTGATGTGTCTATCCCAGGTGAGATATATTGTATGTTATAATTTATTTCCGCTATTTGAATTATATATTTAGCAACTTCACTTTATTTTATCTGCATGG